TGATTCTCATAAGATGATAATAAATTAACTAATTTAGCGCCAGTTGTGTGACGCACGCCTGTGGTCTTAGTTAGGAGGCTGAGGTGGGAGGATCACCTTGGACCTGGCAAGTTAGGCTGCAGTGAGCTGTGACGTAGTCACTCTACTCCAGCCTGGGCCTCAGAGCAAGACTCTGTCTCAAAAAGAAAAATGAAAAAACCCCTGTGTAGTGAGAACCTCTCACTGATTACTGGGGTTTGCCATGTTCTACAAAATTCTCTTTAGCCACGGCAGCTGGCTGTGAAATTGGATTGTTTTGAGTTCTTACTGGCTGAGTGAAGGTTATCTAATTACCACTACCTTTACCACGTGTTCCGTGTACTCAACTGGGTGCGGTGGCTCACTCCTGTAATCCAAGCACTTTGGGAGCCTGAGGTGGGAGGATCCCTTGAGCCCAGGAGTTTGAGCCCAGCCTGGGGAACAAAGTGGGACCCTGTTGCTACAAAAAATAAAAATAAATTAGCCAGGTGTAGTGACGCACGCCTGTGGTCTTAGTTAGTTAGGAGGCTGAGGTGGGAGGATCACTTGGACCTGGCAAGTTAAGGCTGCAGTGAGCTGTGACGTAGTCACTCTACTCCAGCCTGGGCCTCAGAGCAAGACTCTGTCTCAAAAAGAAAAATGAAAAACCCTGTGTAGTGAGAACCTCACTGATTACTGGGGTTTGCCATGTTCTACAAAATTCTCTTTAGCCACGGCAGCTGGCTGTGAAATTGGATTGTTTGATTCTTACTGCTGGTGAAGTTATTCCCAGTTTCTCTATCCTTCCCTAACAGAGGAGGAGGGAGGGACATCAGAGGCTTTCTTCCTTGTACAATAATAGGATCAATATTAGTTCTCCTTTTCACCCAAAATGTGTTGTAAACTGAAATCTGGGTGGCAGATAAAGGTGGTGGAGATCTTTGGATGTGGTCGTGTCTACCTTCACCTTTTTGGTAGAGGTGATGTCAGCGTGAACAGACGCTTCGAAGCACTACGTGCTCCCAAATGAAGCTGTGATTCTGCAGGAGTTCAAACACAACAGGATGCTGGGCTTGTAGGCCGGTAGCTGTCCGGCAGGAAAGCTGTGCTTTCCCAGCTGTGGTGGGTGGGTTCCAGTTTTGGCCAATTCTCGCTAGTTCATTAACCATCAGAGCCTTACAGATGACCCTCATGCTCATCGTAGCGTCATCTGTAAGGCTCTGAAAGCATTCCGAATACCAGACACGCCTGCTGGGGACCCCAATCTCTGAGTGGTGCACAGTTCATCTGAGCCTCAGGATAGCCCTGTGAGGCAGGGGTGGCTGGCGTTTCACGCCCTTTGTGTCACTGAAGGGTCAGCCCTTAGTGAAGGAAGGAGAGGGTTTGTGGCCAAATCTGATTCTTTCACTTAATAGCGCAGAGACTTTGGACAAGTTCTCTGGGCCACAGTCTCCATCTTCAGAATGTAAAATATAATAACCTTGAGATCTAATTGTGGCAATTAAGTGAGATGATGCTGGTGCAGCCCCTGCCATGATTCCTGGTGCATCAGCATCCCAGGAAGTGAAAGAGTTTGCTCGTGGACACACACTATGAAGAACTTAGTCACGGGTGTTCTGGGGCCCGGGACAGGATGCTTTCTGCTCTACCATGTGGTTTCTCCAGGGTGGAAACTGCTGTTGCATTTTCACTTTGTTGGGGCATTGGTCCAGTTAAGAGATGAAGACTTTTAATGTCAATCTTAACTTTTTTTTAACATTTAAATGCTAGCTTTTTTCAGTAAGATAATGTCTGACAGAAGCACGATTTCTGGATTAAAGGAAAAATGAATTTGTGATTGTAATAAGGATTGCCAAATTGTTTCTCTAGGGCTCTACCCGCTCCCAAAACCAGGAATGGAGGAAAGTGGCCATCAGCCTTGCCGAATGGAGTGTGCTGCCACACTTACAGACTTCTGCAATGAGATGGGTAAGAAGTTGCATGTCGGTGCAGCTGTTATGAATGAAATTGAACATCTTTTCATGTATCCAAGAGCCATTTGTAATCTTTATGTGTGTGTGTGTGTGTGTGTGTGTGTGTGATCTATTTGTGTCCTTGCTTGTTTTTCTCCTGGGTTTGTTCTTGTTCTTTTCAATTTTGAGTAGCTCTTTGTGTATTTGACCAATCATCCATGTGTCTTTTATACGAGTGGCAAACAGTTTTTCAACTCTATCATTTGTTTGTCTTTTGACTTTGCCTCTGTTGGTGGTGGTGGTGTTAGTTGCTGGTGTGTGTTTGTGTGTGTGTGTTGTTAGTTTTACCGTGCACAAGTTTGTTTTATTTACTGAGGATTTCTTACCACACAGAAGTGAGTGGGACCACACCCCCTCTTTTGGGAATCTGGCTTGGGCTTTGCTGCCAGGAGGCCATCAGAGCTGCTGCTGATGTTCATTTCCACTGGAATTTTGCTCATCTTGAAGGTTCCTATCTCTGCACTCCTTGTATTTACATTTTTATGCTAATTGCTATCACTTTGCAGTTCATCATCTATATGCTCCCTGGCAGTGTTGGCTTCTTTTTAAGTTCTAGCTTTGTCCATCCACTGAGATCACTGACTGGGGGAGTGCAGAGGCCTGGCCTGGACGTTAGTGTTGGCCACAACACCCAGCTTAGCACAGGGAGGTTACTGCGGGTTCAGTGCGAAATCCAGGACTAGTGGTCCCCAGGCCCTAGCAAGCCACGGAGGAGTTTGGGATGTTTCAAGGGGCTAACTGAAAGCTCCCTCTCCTTTTTAGCCACGACACCCACTCTGAAACGGTTCCCAGGTTGTGTCTCTTGGTGGGACCAGGTTCCAGGGACGGCTCTAGATCGAACGACTCTTAAGCTCTCCTCTACCCCTGCTAAGGTCTCCCAGACCCATTCCACCCCACCGAGGGAGAATGGAATTGGCTCCCCAGGACCCTCCCTCATCCTCTTCCCTGTCCCAAGCTCAGAGTTTGAGGGCAGTGGGGCCGAAGGAAGAGGAACGGAGACAAGTCAGGAGTTGAAGAAGCCATTGGTTTAATGGGGTGAGGAGGTAGGGAAGGATTCGGTGGCAGGAAGGCGAGTCTTGTGGCTCCTCTTTCTGCCCTGGCAGGGGTTGATGTGTGGGAGAGGAGCCCTGAACGCTCTCTTCTCAGGCATGGGGTCAACAGGGAGAAGACTGGAGAGGAGGAATGCATGAACTTTGCCTCTTGCTGTAGGGAGGGAGGAAGGAGACGCTGCATACAGGGAGGAACATGAGCCGCCTTGTGTCTGGGAAGGTTGGACAATAGCGCACTTCCGTGGGTACAGACAGAGGAGGAGAGAGCCAGGATCTAAGGCCGGAAGAGATCAGAGGCGCTCAGCAGTGCAGCAACCTGTAAAACTGACTGATCCCAAAACATCCAAACCAGCAGACGGCGCCCTCGCCTCGCCCTCCCCTCGCCCTCGCCTCGCCTCGCCCTCCCCTCGCCCTCGCCTCGCCTCGCCTCGCCCTCGCCTCGCCTCGCCTCGCCCTCGCCTCGCCCTCGCCTCGCCCTCGCCTCGCCCTCCCCTCGCCCTCGCCTCGCCCTCGCCCTCTGTCCTGCAGGGCTGCTCTCCAGTCCGGTCTCTGCCTCTACTTCTTCCTCCCAATCTGCGCCATCAGATGGGCGTTGGCGGCCGCCTGGGCGCGCAGGTTCTTGGCCTTGGCGATGTTGAAGAGCAGGTTCATGATGTTGGTGGGGACGTCGAGGGACAGGGTGAACTTGGTGCGCTGGGGACTCTTGGCTGTGTCCTGGCGTGGCTTTCCCCTGGGCTGTGCTTGGGACACGTATTTGTACCGGGTGCCTCCAGCTCCACCCCTGGCCCCAGAGACGGGGAAAGTCCTTTTCTCTTTGCCCTCGTCCTTCTCTCCCGAGGAGGCGTCTCCGCCGGGCGGGTGGTGGAAGCTCCTCTTGCTCAGCAGGGACGTATCCTCCCCCTGGCCCTTCTCAGCCTCAGACAGGGCGGCGTTGAGGCAGCTGAAGATGGGCTTGGCTTTGTAGAACTTGTGCAGGAGGCCTGTCCTGGGGCCCCCCAGGAGCAGCAGCAGGAGCAGCAGGAAGTGGACCGGCCTCGGCATCTCTCCCTGCAGCAGAAAACAGGGATGTGGGCAGAGGCATGGGAGGGGCTTGGCGCCCTGGAGGACCTGGATGAAAGTCTACTAGGGTGTTGTTAATATTCCACTGCAAAGGTTCTCCAAGCATGACCCCCAGACCAGCAGCACCAGCCCCGCCCGGGACTTTGTTAGAAATGCAAGTAATTCTCAGGTCTTTTTCCAGAACGAGTAAATCAAAAGCTCTGGGGCCCAGCCGCCTGTGCTGTAACAAACCCTGCAGATGATCCCAGTGATCACTAAAGTGTGAGAACCATGACCTCATTAGTATTTATGGGTTTTATTTAATTCAGATTTGCAGGCAGCCTCTGCCCCTGTAAAGCGAATAACTAATATACTAAGTAAGCACCTAGCAGCCTACCGTGGTTGATTTTAACGGTGAGTGAATTTTTTGTTCCTTCATCATTATCAAGGCTGACTGAGTATATCCCTGTTGCTTAAAGACCATGGCTGGGCATCTAGTCAGTGTTTCCAAGGCAGATCTTTAAGGCTGGTTTCTCGCTAGGCTATCCTAGTTTCTTGAGAACAATCAGATTTGTTATTAATAACTAGGTTGGTTCTACTGTAGACTTTATGAATTTATGAAGTCAAATTATGGTTTTACTGTAGACTTTATGAATTTATACTTGGTCTTTTTGTCAGACCAAGTATCATCCAGGGAGCACCAACGTCCTCCAACCACAGGACTTCAATGCCAACACTATCTGTGGTCTCTAAGACGTGTGGGATCCTGGTTATCAGTCAGACAGAGTCAGGGTGATTGTCCAGGGCAAGAAAGAGACACTGAGAACTCTGAAAGGATCCTAGTCTATAGGGACCAGTTGAATCCATTCTCTTATTTAAAAAAAGAAAAATAAAAACTGGCCAGGCACAGTGGCTCACACCTGTAATCCTAGCACTGTGGGAGGCCGAGGTGGGAGGATTGTTTGAACCCAGGAGTTCAAGAGCAGCCTGGGCAACATAGTAAGACCTTATCTTTACCAAAAAAAAAAATTAGGTGGGCGTGGTGGTGTGCACCGGTGTTCCCAGGTACTCAGGAGGCTGAGGCAGGAGGAGGCTGAGGCAGGAGCATCGCTTGAGCTCCAGAGGTCGAGGCTACAGTGAGTTGTGATTGTGCCACGGACTCCATCCTGGACAACAGAGCAAAACCCAGTCTCAAAAAAAGGAAAGAAAAAAAAACCACTAAGCGTTAGCGTATAGAATGTTGTGGCAATAAAAACATCCAACTCGATGACCCTCATGTTACTTGGACTGTTCAGGCTTTAAGCATCATATGCACTTGCTGGTTCACCAATGAACAGTGTTAAACAAGACATTGAACTGCCATCCCCATCAGGGGAGAAGGGCTTGTGCTGAGCCACCGCCACCCTCCCTCTGGGGCTCCTTCACAGTAGCAGCATGCAGCTGTGCCAGAGGCTGTCAGAGTTCAGGTTGCCCATGGCCACTGTTCCTTAGGATATTGTGAAGTGGGCAGAGTTGACTTCCTGTGCCCTGAAATCAAACCCACTCTGCAGCCAGTCCTTCTTGCCTGGTCTGCGGGCACACATTCTCTCCAGCCCTGCAATAAGGACATCACGTTTATTTATTCATTGTTGTCCTTTATCATGCACGAGGACGAAACAGTGAGGTGCATATGTCAGGAGTTTTGTCTCAACTCCTTCTAGAGAGAGCACGGCTGCTGTCTGCGGGCCCCCGCTCACACCCCGACATGCCTGTTCTCTCATTACGGTGTGAGGATGAACCATCCCCTGGGCTCTCCTGTGAGACACAAGCAGTGAAAGGCTCTGCTGTTCACTTTTGGGGGCTTTACCTGAACTTGAAGGTCACTTTATTACCAAAGACAAACTCGGCTTTCACAAAAGCAAGCAAGAAACATGTGGTTCACTATCAACGTGGGAGAATTCTTTTCTTGTGTTAGTTTTTTAAAAATAAATAAGAACAATTGGGTAAGTAAATCACCCGGCGATTCACCTGGGCCTTCAGCTGCGTGAGGCTGGCATTGGGTCATTTTGTTCTTTGCGGTGACAGTGCAGAGCAGGGCCAGGCAGGGCTGGCAGTCGGGGCTCAAGCTCCAGCCTCTGCTCTGCAGTTCTTCGTCAGTGTGGCCTTGACGAGGCCGTTTCCCACACATGAGTGCAGTGGACCCAACCCAAGCCCATCCAGATAGCCTTAGGCTGTGAGGGATGGACAGAACCAGCGCTGACCCTTAAAAAAGGGAGCCTGGGTCTCTTTCTAAAGGAGGATCCTGTAAATCCCTGCTGCTTCACTTACCCTGGAAACAGACACACACACATGACACATAGGAACATAGAAATGCACACATACATACGCACATACTCATAAACATGTACACATATACACATACATATGCACCCAAATACAGATACACACATATATACATGCACACATGTGCACACACATACACACCTCACATGTACATACATACCCATCTAGACATATGGACACACATATATACATGCACATACATGCACACACGCACCTCACACGTACATACTATGCACACATACATATAGGCACATGCATATTTACATATGCACACATATGTACACACATGCACACCTCACATGCACGTACATACACATACACATACATATATGCATGCACACCTATGCACACACACACACCTCACATGTACATGCATACACACAAGCACACACGTGCACACACCTCACATGTACATACATACACATACATATAGATACATGCACACACATATACGTGCACACATATGCTCACATATACATACCTCACATGTACACACACATGCATACACCCCTTACACACATACACATGCACACACATGCACACACATATACACACATGGATAAATATTTACCCGGCACATTTCCTGTCAAAGCCTGTTGCTTCCCTTGGCTCTCCACATTGCAGCTGTTGCCTTTCTTTCCTTTAATCTTTTTTCTAAGAAATCAGGTTTTGTTTTGTTTGTTCAATTTATTTTGCATTACAAAAATTTGGAGCTTATTTTAGGCAATAATATTTTTCATAATTTATGAAAAAACATATGATCCTTGCTTTAAATGGTCCAAACCTATGAACTGCCAGATCTGGGCATATTGCCTGGTGCAGCGAGAACAACACAGGCTTTGCAGTTAGACAGACACAGTCTCGAATCCCTTCTTCATTCTTACTTGCCTGAGGGCTTGGGCCGATAACCTCTGTGAATTTCAGTTTCCTTCTCTGATAAATGGGATGGCAATAACCACCTCCTAAAGGTTAAGTGAAGGATTAGATGAGAAACGTCAATGTGTGTGTGAAAGCTCCTGGTCTAAGCAGGTGCTTAATCAAGGCTGATCCACACCTGAATAATCTCCATGTCTTCTTAGGAGAAGATCTGGTCTGCACACAACCTTTTCAGAAATGCATTTTACACACACAGATGTGCATACACAGTACACATATGTACAGAGAGGCCAGGAAATCTCAGCAAGGATTTGATCCTGCAGACCAATGTCCTTTTTGTATCGTGTCTCTGGCTTGTAGCTTTTGGCTCCATGCTACCCTCTCCACCCTGACCCATACAGGCTCCTTTTGCCCTTAGTCTAAGTAAGTGGTTCTCAACTTTCAGGTGCTTTGGACTCATGTGAAGGAGCAGTTCAAACACAGCCTGTGGGGCCCGTCCCAAGAGTTTCTGAGCCACTAGGTCTGGGATGCTCCTGAGAACATGCATTTCTAGCACAGTCCCATGTGGTGCTGATGCTGAGGTCTGAGGACCACACTCTGAGAGCCTCTGCTCTGCATGCTCCAACCCGACTCTGGACTCCTTAGAACTGTACACTGGAGTTCCGGGGGTGCACTAACCATCCCTGTGGAAAACGGGCTTTTCTTTCCTTAAATATTGCATTCAATAACCAGACCTTCAGTTTTCTCATTTATAGAGGACCTAATGAGTTGTTTTTCATAAATGGAGTACGATGCTTCTTGCCTGGTCTGCGGGCACACATTCTCTCCAGCCCTGCAATAAGGACATCACGTTTATTTATTCATTGTTGTCCTTCATCATGCATGAGGACGAAACAGTGAGGTGCATATGTCAGGAGTTTTGTCTCAACTCCTTCTAGAGAGAGCACGGCTGCTGTCTGCGGGCCCCCGCTCACACCCCGACATGCCTGTTCTCTCATTACGGTGTGAGGATGAACCATCCCCTGGGCTCTCCTGTGAGACACAAGCAGTGAAAGGCTCTGCTGTTCACTTTTGGGGGCTTTACCTGAACTTGAAGGTCACTTTATTACCAAAGACAAACTCGGCTTTCACAAAAGCAAGCAAGAAACATGTGGTTCACTATCAACGTGGGAGAATTCTTTTCTTGTGTTAGTTTTTTAAAAATAAATAAGAACAATTGGGTAAGTAAATCACCCGGCGATTCACCTGGGCCTTCAGCTGCGTGAGGCTGGCATTGGGTCATTTTGTTCTTTGCGGTGACAGTGCAGAGCAGGGCCAGGCAGGGCTGGCAGTCGGGGCTCAAGCTCCAGCCTCTGCTCTGCAGTTCTTCGTCAGTGTGGCCTTGACGAGGCCGTTTCCCACACATGAGTGCAGTGGACCCAACCCAAGCCAACAGAGCAAAACCCAGTCTCAAAAAAAGGAAAGAAAAAAAAACCACTAAGCGTTAGCGTATAGAATGTTGTGGCAATAAAAACATCCAACTCG